CCACCAGGCTGGCCAGCTGCCGTTTGGGGCGGAAGCCCTCCCGCCGCAAGGGGCCGCGGCACTGCGGGCAGGCGAAGAGGCCGCCCTGCTCGCCGGCCGCCCGGTCGCAGAACTCGGAGATGCAGCGCAGGCAGAAGCTGTGGCCGCAGTCCACGCTGACCGGGTCCTGCAGCAAGTCCAGGCACACGGGGCACCGCGCCTCCTCCCGCAGGCGCTGCCCCGCCGACCCCGCGGCCATGCCGTCCGCCCCGCGCGGGCCGTGCCGCCTCCCTCCTGTCCGCGCTCGGGGGCCCTGCGCCCGCTGCCTCCACTATCTCTCTCCGTCCTGTCCGCACGCTCGGGGAGGGGCCCTGCCTGAGGAGCGGGGCCCAGCACGCGTTTTAATCTGCGGAATTGCTTTCGGGGAGGCCGGGGGGAGCCCCTCCCTTGTGAAAAGCGAACAGCCAAAGGCCCCGGGCTACGCCGTGAATGAACACTCCAGGCCTGGACGCGTCTGACGGGAGCCCCTGACTGTGTGCTCCTGTTTCCACCTCCCGTGAATCGGGGAAAGGCTGAGAGCCCTCCTTCTGCCATGGTCTGCACCACCCAATAGCCTCCTCAGCCATACATGCATAATGATTTCTTAACATCTTTTTTCCAAACCCCAACCTGTCTACCTCCTGTTAATTAGCTCATGATTTTTTGAAAAATGAGGACATGAATTGAAGGGGAGATAGATGCCCGAATAGACGTGTGTGATGATGATAGGTCTGTAGACCAGCAACATTCCGAGCATTTGAATGACTATCCGGTTGGGCTCAGAGAGGATCCACAGGCCTGCCAGGGAGGGAGTTAGGGTTGCTGCCCAGCGGATCTCAGAGGTGACAACGCTGGAGGCCAAGAGGTTCCTTGGAGGGACAATCAAGCAGAGGCTGTCAGAGCTGCTGCTCCTGTGACATGGGGGGACTGAGAAAGACAGGGAAGGAGGAAGATGATTCGACAGACAGTATGTGGGCCATCCTGACCCAGGATGAGTATGGTGAGGTCATTAGGTCATTGGAAGGTAGACATCTGCCAGTGAACAAAATGTAATTTGCATTTTGTTGAGTTTGAAGTGGTAGGCATGTCTGCAGCAAACTACTCAACCTGGTAGCCGGGCTCCCAGATGCAAGGTGAGCAAAAGACGTGTGGCCCAGCTCTCAAGAGCCCTAATCACTGGAACAAGGAAACTCGCCAGCGCTGCAAGACTGTAACAGAGGACTGGAAACCAGCCTCTGGGGCCAGGTGGAACCCTGCGCTAGCACCTGAAGAGCAAGCGCAAACCACAGGTGGGAAGGGGGTGGGGGGACGGGTGGCAAGCAGAACCGTGAGAGGGCAGAGTCCAGATGAGCTGCAGAGGCGGGCGCAGGATTTACCCCCAGGCAGGCTGCTGTGCGGCCAGATGAGGGTGAGTGGCGGCAGGTAAGGTCCCAGTGAGAATCCAGGCCAGATGACTCAGGTCCTTGTGGCACTGCTCCCGTGACACTTGGCTGGAGCTTTGGCAGAAGGCAGAGTCTAAAAGGCCTGAGAGCATCTGCTGAAAGAGTATGTGCATAATGAAATGGATAGATTCTTTGAGAACAGACACAGACAGTATGAGCTAAACCTGATGTTAGAAAAGAAAGCAAAAGTACAGAGGGCTCCATGACAGAAAATGTACCCTGACCCTGGGCTGGAGACTTGCTAGCTGAGGGGCTTTAGGGGAGCTGTGTCAACTTTCCATGCCCACTTCCTCTAACACAGTGGTTCTCAACCTGTGGGTCGAGACCCTCAAGGGTCGCCTAAGACCATCGGAAAACACATATATAATTACATATTGTTTTTGTGATTAATCACTATGCTTTAATTATGTTCAATTTGTAGCAATGAAATTGGGGGTCACCACAACATGAGGAACTGTATTTTAAAGGGTAGCTGCATTAGGAAGGTTGAGAACCACTGCTCTAACATGTGAGGACAGTGCTAGGCCACTCAGGATCCAACAAGCTAATAGATATCACACATTTGACACAAGTCCTGGCATGTAATATGTATATTTAACTAA